TTAAAAATTAAAAGAACAAAAATAAGAAGTAAAAAAACATGTTAACTGGTTGCTAATCTTAGAATTTAAAATTGAAATGCTATCTGAATACAATAAGAAGAGAGTTTTAAGGACTCAAGTAACAGTCTGGTGTTCATATCTTAGAATTCACTAATGTTCCTTTAAGTTATTCCCCAGGGTTAGTTTCAACTTGATTAAAAAAGTTTTACATACCGGTACTTGTTTTGGTGTTTAAAGACCTTTGAACACACTGCCATGAAAAGTTCCGCAGTGACTTGAGTTTATCCAGCAACAATTAAATCCAAAACCAAGTCTGGAAAGTCAAGCATAGGAAACTAAAAGAGTGTCGCCCTTTTCAGTTATTAAGGTAAGGCATTTTGATAATTTAGTTGGTATGCTGAGTGGCCACAACAGCATTTACAGGTATGCTACATACGGAAATAGCCAGGCTAAATGTCCATCCAATATCAGCCTGTAAAACTTCCAGCATTACTCAGAAAGAGAAAAATCAATCATGCTGTATTCTGAGCTGCACATTTCTTTGAAGCATTTTCTAAAGCATCAGCAAGAAATTACTGTCAAAAGATATCAGTCAGGAAAAGAGTACCCAAGAACTTCCAATTAGATAAACCAAGAAACAAAGGGAAACATTATAAAGGAGATAAACTACTGTCAAATTTTAGCATTTCAATAATTGTCAGGAAGCCTAAAGTAAGATTAAAGGAGCTGCAGAAATTTCAGTCAAGAACTGGCTGCAAGGAAGGTGTGGCAACAATTTGCCGTACTTTTTATACATCTGTGCTATAAGGGGAAGTGGCAAGACTTAAGTCTTAGATTAACTTTTCCCAAAAAGTCCAAAAGGTTTGAAACTAATAGAAAACTACATATGATCCCAAAGTAAACCGTACTCATAGCAGCACTTTGTTTTGGGAGGGTAAATGCTACACACTTTTCTAAAAAGCTGAAGATAAAAGATGAAGTATTGGAAAAGTCCAAAGCACATATTCAAATCAAATGAAGAACAGAGTTTTTTAAAATTATTTAAACATTTTTCCAAATGGAATAAAATACAGCCGAGTCAAAAAGCTCAGATTAACCCCCTAAAACATTAAGATCTATTGTAAAATCAAAAGTTTCTGCACACTTATGCTTATTATTTAATTAAAAGATATTGGTATGTTTTTAAACTGTATGTATGGCAAAGAGAGATGGAAAAAAAAATGAAAAATCTAGAATTTTTTTTTCTATTTTATCTTTTCACATAATAAAAATTTGTCTTTTTAGGAATGTGTATTAACTTTCAATATACCACATGGGCATTAGTTAGTTATTTTAAAGGTGTGCTTCAGGCTAAATATGGTAAATGTTGCCATCTAGTGGTTTAAGCTCAACAGTACAACACTAACAGACTATTAAATACACAAGGGAGGGTTCGATGAGAATAATGAGCATGCAGACAGGTTCAACCAGAGGTCACCATCTGGCCAATTACCACTGTTGGCACATTGGAGCCGACCCGAACTGTCATCGCAAACACATCACTCCATGTCCAAACTGCCCAGCAATATGTCACCATGCCACTCGACGTGCCATGCAGTATGGTGAGGATGGGGGCAACAGGAGACAGCCCTGTGACAAAGCCACCTGGTCATCACCGAAGACAGGACAGACTGCAGGGCCACCTGCTCAGTTCAGCTTTGGAGGACATTCAGTGGGTTCTCAATGTCAGCCACCCATCTCACTGTCCACCGTGAGTGACAGGTGTTTATTGTATCTTTGACATTCACTTCCTCGGGGAAGAGACAAAAACAATCAATCTGCGGGGAACAGAAGGCGGGGAACACTTAAAATAGCTCACATTGATCAGATTACTGAGAAATATAAGCAACAGTTGCAGCAAAATATGCTGAATGGGGAAAAATGTGGCTTCATGATGCAGAAAGATATTTTAAAGTGAATTGAAACCTGTTTGGCAGAGAAAAACCTTGAATATTTTTGCCTTTCTGAATCCTGTGTAATAATTTAATCCAATTAGCATCATAAACAATAAAAAAGAGGGGGGGAAAACAGACAGTGCAGCAGCTATAAAACAAGAGGTGCACGGGAGGGGCATTTCTCTGCATATTATAATAACCATCTGTACAATCAAATAGAAAACTACATCTTGCTGTTAGAATCATAAAGAAAGGGAACAGATGTTAATCCCTAATGGAGTTGACAGGCACTTTCCTGTCTTTCACATGAACATATTGAGTTTCTGAATAAGAGGGGGATCAGAGGGAAGGTGTATCATGTTGCACTCATAATACATGCATATCAAAGACCCCAGCTGTTGGATTCCCTCTCCTGAGAGACAGCATTATTAAATCTGCACTCAGCAAGCATATCACACCAGCACAAGAGCTTAAGCCTCTCCATCAGTGGACTCCATCGGCTTGGCGATTTGTAACCTATCACACAAGGAGATTATATCATCCTTTAAAGTGTACAGCTAATCAGTGCCACACACCTGTGTCTTATTTAGCCTTTATTTGAGATCAGAGTTAAGATCTAGGAAGAGAAGAAGAAGAAAAAACTCAAGTGGTATAAGTATAGAGGAAGTGTGTTGTTCATAATTGGCATGATTCACACACACTCACACTTACTCTTCACACTCCCGCTGTCAGGGGATGAAGCCTGAGATCCTGCCAAAAACTCTTTTTTGGAGTCGTGTAGCACAGTAGATGTGGCTGGCAATGTCACGTGCTGATGCAGGGCCTGAAGTTTGGGCAGCAGCTAACTAAAGCAGTCTGCTGTGAAGAATCCATCAATAGATAACAAGACAACCCAGACACGCTTTGCCCACTAGATGGCATTGTACTCCTTTGAATCTTCAGCAAGCACTAAAGCATTGTGGCAGTAACAGCTGCTTCCATTGTGTGGTGGCTTGCAAAGTATTTATTCTAATTTAAACTTTAAAATGTTTTATCTTTTTTATGTTAAATCCACAAACTCCAGCATAATATGTTTTTACTACATAAGTTTTTATGTGGTAGAAGGACACACAACAGTTCATTATAGTTATTAAATCTTTAATAAGGCCACATATCTGTAAATATGTGGCCTGCATCTGCTTCAAATCCCTTTTTATATAGTATTTAAAAAACTGAGTAAAAGACTTTCTTAAGAAGGAATCTAACAAGCGACGGAGTTGAGTTGATATGTTTTAAATGACAAAGGAACCAAGGGGGAAGTTGAGATTTAATGGTTTAGGTTACAAAATAAAGTTGCATGCTTTGGACATCCCACAGAGCGCTGTTCCAATTCAACGTTTAAAATGGGAGATTATGGCACATCTAAAAACCTACCAAAACATTCCAATTCACATAAACTAATAGACCAAGCAAGATAATCAATAGAAGAACTGCAAACATCAACAGCTCATGTGAAAATATATGTTAATGGTATAGGTATTAGTGGTCCTTTCTACAAATTAGATCTTTATAGGTGAGAAGAAAGCAGGTGCCATTGTCAAATGTGACCAAATATTAGATCAAAATGCAAAATGTTGTAGGAGAATAAACTAACAATGCACATCACTATGATTATACCAACCTCCCGCAAAAACCATAAGTGGAGGGGTGCTTTACTTCTGGAGGGAAAAATAAGCTGGGTAAGTTAATGGGAATATGGGTGGTACAACATACACAAATATATTTGCTTTCCCTTATATGATGGAATAGATAAGACAAAAGATATTTGTGTGTTAGAATAGCTTAGTCCAGGGGTAGGCAGCATTGATCCTCAAATGCCACTGTCCTAATTCTTTTCCATGCATTTCTGCACCAACACACCTGAAACAAAAGGCTAAATTACCTCCTTGGCATGTCAGGAAGTTTAGTGGAAGCCTGCCACTGGAGCAGGGACGCATGCAAAGCCTAGTCAAAGAATCCAAAAAAATTAGATGAAGATTCGGAGGCAAGACTTAAAAGTTGGGCTTCATTGTGGCGCAATTTGTAGTACTGTTGCCTTGCAGCAAGATGGTTCTGGGTCCAATTCCTGACCCAATTCTTGTCCAATTTCTGCATGGTGTTTTTCATGTTTTGGTACTCTGACTTTCTCCACAGTCCAAAGGTTAATTGGCATCTCTCTGTTGTCCTTAGGTGTGATTGATTGTGTTTGTGTGTGGTTCTATGTGTCTATGTCGCCCCGCAACAAACTGGAGACCTGTCCTTTCATCCTGTTAAAAGGAGTTTTCCTCTGCACTGTTGCTACAAGCATGCTTGGTGTGAGGGATTGCTTTCGAGTCAATGGGTCGATGTAATCAGCTGGTTTTCCTTAGACAGAAACTTTGAACCAATCTGACTGTATGATCTGTAAGTGCCTTGAGTTGACATGTGCTGTGAATTGGCGCTATATATAAATAAACTGAATTGTCCAGGATGTACCCTGCCTTACAGCCATAGAGTGCTGGAGATAGGCACTAGCCCCACCACAACTCTGATGGACTATGTTGGATGGATGGATTTAAAAGTTGACGTGTATAGATAATATCCAACTGAGCTTTTGACAAAGAAGAATATGAATGGAGGAACGGTGGTGGTACAGGGGTTAAATGCACAACCACGTACAGAGGCTTTGGTCCTTGACACGGCCATCACAGATTTGAGTCCTGGCCTGGTGACCTTTGCCGTATGTCTTCCCCTTCACTCTTATTCCAGTTCCTTTCTAACTACTTTCAAAAATAGCTTAATAAAGGACACCTAAAATAATCTGAATTAGAATCCATCCATTCTACATATACAGATGTGAAAAGCTTATAGAGACATACTCTTACCACTGTAATAATAGTGTTAAATAGTGACATAGTTTTAACTAAGAGCAATTTCTGTTGGGCTATCACAAAAAATTCTCAAAATGGATTGAATCTTGCGCCTGCAAAGTGACTTTAATCTAAACAAAATTGAGATTGTATAAATACATCAAGAAGATTTTATATGCTTGATGAGTTTAGAGCTCACCTGCAGCTTCTTTCTCCACGTTTTCTCCACCATTCACATTGGCTTTGTGGGCACTCACAGGTGGACTGGTCAGGTTCCCCTGGGATCTGAAGAAGGAGAGCAGGTCACCCTGATGAAGGAGTGAGTCTGCCCGTCCTTGAGTCAAGCTCTCAAAAGAGGAGATAGAAGTTTGAGCCCCAGCTCTTCCCCACTGACCAAGCTTTGTTTGATGATTACCACCAGGACCCTCAAAATCAACACTGGCCTGTTCGAGCTCCTTCGACTCAATAGCATCATTTTTCAACATTTTCCACTTTGCAGAATCTTCATTTTTATCTTCCCTCTCAAATGTCTCAAATGCAACCTCAACATCATGACCTATGGAGCTTGCAGAATGTGAGTTCATGTCTTCTTTTGTTTCCTGCACCAAAAGGTCACACTGATATGCTGGTTTCATACTGAGTTCAGCTGCAGCATTTGGGTAACTTTGTAGCCGGCGGCTAATAGTGTACGAGAGCCCATTACTAAAAAGGCCAGGCATCTGTACCAGTGTGGCAGAAGACATAGCTGGCTGAGATGGGACAGACTCTGGCCTGACAGACAAATCCAAGGGCTCATACTGGGACTTTCTGGTTTTATCAGACACAGGGGCTTCTAGATCTTTATCATCAGGGCTGGACTGTTTGTTGGCAAGGATTACGTCCTCGGTGTGACTCTCCAGACCAAGGTACTGCCCTGCAGTTGGACTCCAATCTTCTCTGGATCTTGGTCGGTGCTTGGTGTTGGGGCTGGAGCTGCTGCTACTACTACTGGGCTTCAAAGGAGAGGAAGGAATGTTCTGCCAGTGGGGGAAGTGATAGCGATCCAGATGGAAGCTGAAAGAGGCTGTCTGTGCAGTTGTGTACTCACTGGAGATCGGGCACCTGTAGACGTTTTCACCTAACAAGAAGAATGACGACAAAAACATGTTATAATCCAAATCAGATAAAAAAATCTATGGCTATATGAGGCATTTTGAGCATTTTGCTCTATATGCACTATAACCAGTTGTCTAAACATGAAAAATGTTGCAATCTCACACCAGGCTGAGTTGAATGATTTAAGTGCTGCCCTGCAGTAAATCAAGCTTGTAATCAGCTTTCAGCTCCAGTGATCCATCATCTTACAGTATGGACGCCACCACCATGTGCAATAAATACACCCAAAGATGTTAACGCTAAACAAGATTCTTCCAGAAATAATAAACAGTGAAATTGTTAAGCATCTAGAATAAGGCAGATGTTGCAAACACGAGCTGTGCTCCATCAAAGCCTGTAAAGTGGGTTTCCGAGTCAAAAATAACGTCGACATGTGAGCGGCCCTGATTAACCACGCCATCTACTGTAACTGAGTTTATTTTTGCTTCATACTTGAAAAATGGCATGTTGGAAACATAATTCAAAAAGTACAAAGTGTGTTATTGTGGAGAATGACAAAGGGTAATTTTTCTCCCCCTTATCTTGTGAATAATAGCCATCTGGATACAAGATTGGATCTGTTGCGGCATAACTTTTAATTAAAGGTAATCTAAACGTCTTCCTCTCTCTGTTTACCTACACTTTCCTCCTTACAGCCATCAGAGGAAAACCCTTCAGGGTTAAACACACTCCATGTGACCATTTTGAGTTAGTGATTGTCTCAGACCTCTGCCTCGCACTGTCTTTAAACAGCCCAGCTGTTTCGCTGCCATTCCAATTACAGTAAAAGTCATCCGGCGCCATTAAGCCACAAATATTGGCAGTTTATTGCCCAACACTCTCCTGGCATTTGAAGGTCAGGTCATACATTATACTGTGTCTTTTAGGGATGCGTCTGGGATGAGGAGATAAACCCACCACCATTAATTTAATTCTATGCATATTGATGCCTTATTGTTCTTCTTTAATGGACTTATACCTAAGTTACTGCAGTGATTCATCCCTGCCACAGAAATATCTATTTCATACACCTTAGGATCTGACCCTAAGGTAAGTCTCTGAGGTAAATCCAAATCTAATGATCTGTAGTACCAGCTCCATTTTGTTACCCACTTTAGAGGGAGAAACCGTCATTTTGAACTGAATGGCAGAGCAAGGAGGGCTGTTTTCTTGACTATTACAATTTACGAAACCGTAAAATAACACCCACGTATTAATTATATTGAGCTCTACTTAATGAGATTGAAAAGTCACAGCTGAAATTGAAAAATCATGCCCTTGAACTAAAGTCAGCTCTCTTTTTTACCCTGTATATGAATCTTGTGTGTGTGTGTGTGTGTGTCCAGCAAATACGTGATTTAATGTCTGTGTACATTGAAAGTGTGTGGCCGTGCAAGAGCGGGAAAGAGACCCTAAACAATGCCACACCCTTTTCTCCAGTAACAAACAAACACACATACACACACATTAAAAAGACAGAAATCCAAACAGCTTAATGGAACTCTTTTAGACACACTATGTATCTCAATCATTCTGTGGCTTAAATTACGATGACATTACGGGCAAGCTGCAAATGCAGAAAACACATATATCTGACCTCATCTTCCACTGTGGACCTTCTTAAACCCATTTGCCAGCCTGCAAGAGAGCCGTAAAAACCAACACAAAGCATGAAGACTCCCTTTGCCTCTTTTTTCCCCCCTCCTCTCTCTTCCTTTGGATGGGTGCCATCTTTGTGATTGCCTGGTTCATGCTAACTTAATCAGTTTAAGATTTACTTACAGTGCTGAGGCTCACATTATGTGAAGGGAGTAATTTTAGAGCTTAGATTTATCAACCAAAACTCCAATTACTGCATCATTACAAACCCAAGCCTCTCTCACCTAACACAGAGCATCTAATGAAGTGATGCGTATGAGTTATCCACTTCTTGCTGGATTTGTGCACGGTAGGGGAGGGGAGGTAGATAAATAAATAAATAAATAAATAAACAAACACCTCAAGTGAGCCATGTCTGTGGAAAAGCATGCAGCTGGGCTTGGACAAGTGATTCATTTCATATGGAAATAGGCTTTAAGATTTACAGCCATATATCCCTGTCAATGCAATCACATTCTCACATGCTATTTGCTTACACAGGCATTTGGCAGTTATATTGTAGATATCAAATTCTATATACAGCAGGGCTTTAGCTCTCACTCTCTGTGGTGCGAAAAACTATTTGTCCCCAATTCATTTCTTCAGGTTATTTTCTTTTCTTTTAAGCAAGACACAAATGTTTCAGATCATCAAACAAATGTTCATGTCACAGAAAAAGTTAACCTGAGCAAAAAAGAAAAAGCTCCCGATGATGTTTTCATTTATTAGGGGAAAACAGCAAACCATAGCAACCTGGCCATATGTGAAAAAGTAATTGCTCCCTTGACCTAATAACTGGTTTGGCTACAAGTAAAGACTACTATCAAGCATTTTAACAAATGCTTGATAGTAATCTCTATTGCTGCAGGGGAATTTAGCTCAACTATTCTTTGCAACGTCTGCAGCACTGGAAGGTTTCAAGCATCAACAGTGTGTTTTAAGTCCACCACGGTATCTCAAAGAAATTTAAGTACAGCTTGCTTTTAAGTTTCTTTGCTATTGAGGTGTGTTTGTTGGAGTGGGTCATATCGTCTTTTCTGCATAACCCAACTGTACTAGAGTTTAACATCCTCAACCGATAACCATAAATTTTATAAAATACATGTAGGGTTTTATGCCAGATGTATCGGGGTGCTACTTCCAAAAAGTTTGGTGTTTGTCTCATTAATTTAAGACATTTTTCCCTGCTTTTTCACCAAGTGTCTTCGTCATTGCTGGGCCATAAACACTGACCTTAACTGAGCAAAGTAAGGTGCAACTTCCTCTAGGTTACTTTTTTTGCATTCTTGAAGAAATTATAGCTGGTTATCCTCTTTCAGAAAGTTAGAACAGTCTCCAATATTTTCTCTGTCTGTGGATAATGTTTTCACGGTGGTTGTATGAATGTTTTTAAGAGATAATTTAGCCAACTTTATGTTCTCAGTCAGGTTCAGTTCAGGTTATTATTTGATACCATAAGTAAGCAAGAAATCAGGCCCAGATGTGGCCAGAAAAATGGAAAAATCTGTTAATAAGCTAAAAACATGATAAAAAAAAAAACAGGTTATTACTTTTCTCATACAACTAGGTCTGTTTGGACATCTTTTTTCCCTTGATAAGGGAAATTAGCATTCGAACAACTGCCTTCTGTATTGATTTTTATGTCGATTATCTTTTGTTTGATATAAAAATGTCTTTGATGATCTAAAGCATTTAACCATGACAAAAAAACAGAAAAACTAAATCTATAAAGGAGCAAATACTTTTTCGCAGCACTGCATATTGTAATCAGGCACCTGAAATGCAAAACAGAGATACATGTTTGCTGGTTTGGTTTAAGATGAAACAGAGTGAGAGTCGCACACAAGACTGGTGAGGGGAGAAAAAAACAGGGGCACCAGATGTTCTTTGATGTTTATAATAGCATATATTATTAATATTAATTAGACCACATAGTCAATGACGCATTTGGGACGTTTCCAAGTCAATTAAGCCAAATGGCATTCAGGAGACGGCGGAACAATATTTCAAGGCAGGTGTTCAGAACTCCCTGGGTAAATCTTTTTATCTGCATGCTAGGAAAACAAGCATTTTGAGCTTAATTTGAGCCTCATATCTGCAATAATAATTAAGAAGAGGATTAAAAGACAGAAGTGAGGGGAAGATGAAAAAGCCAACAGGTAATCTCTGCAGGCAAATCAGTCAGAAAGACTGATCTCTGGCTGCTATGCACTTCTCTTAAGCAAGGGTCTATGTTAAAAGACGCTTATACTGTTAGCAAATATGCAGGGTAGATGGAAGTAACTGGTGTAACTAAATAAAATCTGAAAGTCCTGCACTGGCTCATTTCATCCTTCTTTATGGCTAAACCACTGCTCATGTTACCATTCACAGTTTTACAGACACTTGTCACTTTAGGCTCCCATGGCTTACAGCAAGAGCACCATAAAGTCAGGAAATAAAGAACAAAACACATGTAGGGACAGCGCCATTACATGGTGCCTGCTCACTGACCTTGAGGTTAAGAGCTTTGAATAGGACTAATTAATAACTGTCAGCAGATTTCATATTTTTTAGCCATGTTTTATTCAGATTGTGGATGGAACTGGCCTAATGTAGGTCAGGGGGCTTCAGAATGTAGCTTTTCTGGGTTTATCCTTTAAGAGGAAAGAGTCATAACTCCTAATCTCAAATCATAATTAAACCCAAAGTGCATTTTTAAACTGTGTCTTGATTAGATATTCAGACAAGTAATTTGTTACCATCCCTCTTTTTGAAATCAATGGAAGTGGGATTTCTAATTTCAGATGCTATGTATTTACTGTTAAATATAAAAATCTAAAGCTGCATCTAAATGTATCAAGCAAAGGCAGGCTCGTTCACTCTGACAGCCACCACTGTACTATATTTGCTATCCATATTGCGAACATCAATAACTTCATGACCACCATAGGCTGACTATGAATAATGCAGCCAGTAATTCTGGACTAATCAATGTTCCTCAAGCTGAACATCTGGCAGTGGTAATTCTTCCTCAGCATCTCCGCTCTTTTGAATTAGAAAACACTCTCTCCCTCTCTCTTCCTCCACGTCCAGTCTTAGAGACAGACAGACTTGATCAGTTACAAGCACTGAAAAAAACCCAACTTATACTTGTTATTAAAACCTCATCAAGTGCTGCGTGTTCTCCATATGTGTAGGATTTACCTATCTGTCCCACAGCAGACCTGAACGTTGAGCCAGGGCCAGCACTGTGTGATTGTGTTAATTAATCTGTCATTGTGAGCACAGGGAGCAGCTGCAGAGGTCTCTGGGATATATTGTCAGAGCTAAACAATGCGGTGCTAAGCCCCCAGAGTGAGTCTACCATTACACAGGACTAAGAAGAGGGAGGCAAAGAGGAGAGCAGGGGGGCTGAAAAGAGAGAGAGAAAGCTTGCCGGATCCATCATTGACTAAAGCAATGACGCCTGACCTTTACAATGAATTAGTTTCCATGCTTAATATTGACTGAAATTAGAGTCTGATACTGAATGTGCCATCCCAGAACTGTGCACACTCAAATCCTTAGCTAGCCAACTATCATAAATGTATCCAAGAGTGACACCGTATGGTCTCGGAGATATGGGAGAGAAGAGAAAAGTGCAAACAGCTGAGTTTGTATGTGTTTCTTAAAGAGCAACCGGAGAGGGATTTGGCCACAAAACTGCCAGCATTTACATGTAAATATGCAGCTACCAGTATCTGCGTACAATATGGAAACAAAACATCTAAGGGGATTAGACCTGATCCATTTATCTCTGCTATACGGACATCATTTAAGAGGATACTGGATCAAATCCCGCTAGAGCGCATCAGACTAAGATGTACATAACAGTTCCACTCCAGTAGGGAGAGTAAACAAAATAAAACACATGCATTTGTAATGAAAGAAATAAAACAAAGTTTGGAATCATTTTTTTCTCTTAACAACACTGTTACAGCAGTAATTTAGCCTCCTGATAACATGTTAGCTGGATGCCATGACAAGAAAGGCATCTACCCATTGAGCCAAATCATCCAAATCACCAGGTGGAAAAGAACACTATCAATAAAAATACCAGGTGGTAGATCAAATCATAAAAATCACTGGGTGGTATATATCAAATCATTAAAAACACCAGATGGCATGCATTAACATCTTGTGCCCCCGTAGGCAAGGGGTGGGGATGTGACAGATATAAAAAAGAGGGTACTAATTATCCCCACAATTCAACATGATGCCATTATCTTTAAAAGAAAGACAAAGCCCTTGTGGATGATAATATCTGTGGTGTGTTGCTGACCCTGGGCTTCATCTCTACCTACTTTAAGTGACAGAAAGATTACAGCATACATTTTTCATAAAAAGACAACATTTTGTTAATTTTTAAAATTTATTGAAAACAAACAAAACCAGCTAGGTTATGTGAGTGTAGATTCGCTTTCGAAATGACCCTAAATCAGCCAACTTTCATCTTTATAAGTTTACATTCAATTCTTAAAGTCTTAAAGTTGATCTTGTGTTTTTTAGGAGTAAATCTAACACCCTTACGAATTATAGAAGAAAAACGAAATCTGTGGAGTTATTCCAAAGGAAACCATTTTTGCAAAATGTCAAGACATTTCTGAAAGTAAGTAAGAGAGAATAAGACTTTTTGCAGATAATAGGAAGGATGGATTGAGTATGGCAAGGTTATTTTGTTTTCTTCCTTGGATCTTTAACCTTGTTCTGTCATAGAATATATAGGATTAAGAAATGTTGGAGAGAATGACAATTATCTTAAAGAGTGCCAGCCAACATCAAATACTATAAAATAATTATTCTATAATATTTATTTTTGTATTTATTTGTATGTGATGATGAACATTGTGTCTGAAATGACAGAAAGCATTAGACAACAGCTATATTCCCAAAAGCCATGAATATTTAAACCCAAATGTTAAAAAAACTATGGAATATATGTAACTAACTATATTTGTAATCCCAATTGTTCTGATTTTACATATGTGAGTACAAATTATTTAAGGTTTTAGACTTTTTTTAACGTTACAGCTTTTAATGAGATTAGGCTTGAATTGGAATTCCAAGGCCAAAGCTTTCAAAAGCCAAAGATCAGACATCGGCCATAAAATCATTTACTTATAAGATCATGATGAGCACCTTTCCTTGCCACTCTTATAAACATTTACTGTTTTGTAGTTTACCTGTAGGTGTAGATGAAGTTTCTTGTTGATGGTTGATGGAATTTCCTGCCTCTGTGATCAACTCCATTGGCCCATGGTGACTCGCTTTGCCTGGGCTTCCAGGTCTGCTGCTGGCCTTGGTGTCTGGGTCACCAAGACACAGCTTCCTGTCATCAACAGAAACACCCCTCTCAGGCAAATAGGCAGAACATGGTTGCTGCTGATCCTTTGGCCTGAACATTTGCTGATCAATAGGCAGCCCAGGTGGCATAATCTGCCAACCTGCGTAGCTGCCACTGTTGTTGAGAGCATCCTGATTTGAGATAACTTTCTGCAGATACTCCATGCTAGTAGAGCTTAGTGTGGGATGGAGATGGTTCAGTGCCATTAAAGAACTCTCTGCATCTGTCAGAGGAACTGGACCAGAGGAAATCATCCTCCCCAATACCTCTCTAACCTTCATGTCAGTGCCTGCCTTGGCCATCATGTGGTTATAATCAGTTATATCTGCTCGCTCAGGCGACTGGAACCTGTTGTGGATTCTGGACATGTACTGTGAGTAGAGGTTGCTCTGATGCTCCTGTGTCAGATTACTCATAGCAACCGAGGAGTCGTGATCGGGAAGGATATTACTCTTAGTGGCCAGTTTGTTGAGGTGAACTTTCATATGGTTCTTGAGAAACCAGGGCTCCTTGAAACGACGACCACAAATCTGACAGCAATGCTCGAAAGAGTCCTTGTGTTTTCTCATATGGCCTTTCAGAAACCAAGCCTGGCTGAAAGTCTGGCCACACACCTCACAAGGGAATTCGCCAGTGGGCTTCCCCTTATCATTGGTTCCCATTGACAGCTTCTGTCCTGGACCTGAATCAGCAGTTATGTGTGTCATTTCCACGTGCCCAATGAGTTCCTCCTCTTGTGCAGCTGCAAACTCACACAGAGTGCATTTGTAGGGTTTGTGAAGGATCCTAATGTGGCGCTCAAGTTCTTGCTGCTTTCTGAATTTTCCTTTACAGAAGGAGCAGCGAAACCCAGCATTTTGGGGCTGGGTGACCTCATCTGGGATGGTTGTCACCTTTGGAGAAGTGGATGGATGTGGTTGAAGATCAGTTGTTCCAGAGGGGTCTAGGAACGGAGATTCTGTTGGGATGGTCTGCAGAAAGACCTTTTGAAGGTGACTTGTGTTGGATGTTGGCAGTTGCTGGTGACTGACATTAGTAGCTCTCATCTGCCTATCTCTGAGTATGGCCCTCTCCTCAAGCTCATGGAGCAGCCTGTTCTCCTCTCTTATTCTCCCACGGCCTTTGCCCAGAATTCCTTGCTTGTGTGTACGGAGGTGTATTTTCAGGTTGCCCTTCTGTGCAGCCCTGTGGTCGCAGTATGGACACTTGAACGGCTTTTCCCCAGTGTGAGTGCGCATGTGAAGGGAGAGTATACTGTTGAAGCGGAAGCGTTTCCCACACAACGGGCATGGATACTTCCTGTTCTTGCGGCTGTCATCTTGAGCAGAATTTACCTGTGAGACAATACTCTGATTGGTGATTCTCAAGAACTGAGAAAGCTCCACTCTCCCGTTCATACTGCTGAGTATCCTTGCATCCACAATTTGATTGGCCAGAAGTGCCATCTGGCTTCTAACTGGGTGGGTGGATGGGGTAATGAAGCTGTTGACTAAGAAACTGGGAGGTGTTCCTGTGATGGTGGTCAGTGGTGCTGGTCTGGTACAGACTGACTGTTGTAAGGGAAATGATGTCAGTTTGCAACTATTAAGCTGAAGCAGGTTCAAGGTTAATGCTGTGCAGATGAAACATCAGTCTATTGTGGCTGATACCTGAAGAGAAAAAAAAAGCAAAACACCTGCATTAAAGCTCTGCAACAACATGCATATCATGCAAACACATTTAAAAAAACACTGAATAACAACAGCAAGCGTGTGAAATGTCAGTGCACTTATGCGCTATCAATTTAAGGTGTAAATCTGTATTTTTGCAACTGCTGTATAATGCCAGTGATGCACCACAAATGGGTCAGGAAATGGAGCTAAGTAGGTTCTGACACTGTTCATCCTGTGTTAAGTATACCTGTGGTTTTAGATTATTGTTGGAGACTGTAAAAATGCTGATTACGTCTAACCACAAAGGCTTCCTCAACAAATATCTCATCTTTACAAAAGGGTAAGGTGAAAATATTGTCTAGATCTCATTTTGACATGATGCAAAAGCAGCACAAAGATCAAAGTGGGTCTCACTCGTTCTTCCTTTGCATTTCACACACAAAAAGTGAAACACTTTCAAGAAAACATGAAAGTAAATACTTATCACTCTTTAAAGCAGATCTGTTGCTTATTTGTTGAAAGCCCTTAAACAGAATGATTTTAGTGCCTTGCATAACTGTTTATACCTTTACACCTTCACATTTTGCTATTCTAAATTCACAAACTGCAATATTAGACATTTTTTGCTAGACAGAAAAAGAAATAGCACATGAATAAATCTTAGACAAATAAAAGTCTGAAATATTTGGCTTACATTTATATTTAACCTCCTTGAATCAGTACTTTTAAGAACTAGACTATGGTGCATTTGCAACTGCTAGTCTATTTGCATATGCTTTATTAGAGTTGCACACCTACAGGCTGAAATTGTTTACCCACTCCTCTTTGCAAATTAGCTTAAGCTAAGTATGTTTGGATGAAAATCTCCTGCAAACATCAACTCTTTGGACTTACAACAGATATCCATATAAGTTTAGTTTTGGATTTTGATTGAATCTTTCCAACACATAAAGACATGGCTTTCTTTTTAGCCATTCCATTTTATCTCTAGCTGTATGTTTAGGGTTATTTCCTGTTGAACAGTGAACCACCAACCATATCTAAAGTCTTTTGCATTTTTCTAAATGTTTTTTATTGTTATCATAATGCTGCCAGCACCATAATTCACAGCATGAAATTATACTATGTTCAGGTTGAAATTGTGCCAAAGGTTTCCCCAAATATAGGGTTTTGCATGTTTGCAAATCCAACCATGGTAGATGGCCAACTGCAAACAGAACATATTTTGGTTTTCTTTTAATAGTTATCAGAGTCTGCCAGCTGAGTTGTGGGTCTCTCCAGCTCCTCCAAAGTTACCATTAGACTCTTGGTTGTTAATTAAAACTCTTCTCCTCTTGCATGTCAGGCTAGGTGGTTGGCCTTTCCCTCCATTTTTGGTTGATGGATTTAACAGTGCTCTCTTTGAAGTTCAAAGATTAGGATATTATTTCAGCAAACATTTGAGACCTGCACATAACAAATGAATTCATTTCTACACTAAATTATACTCAAATGGACTCTAGCAATGAGAAGTCACCTGAAGTCGAATGCTTAAACTGGATTTTACATGCTTGTCAAAGTAAAGGGAGGGTGAATGTAAATGTTTCCACTTTTAACATTTATTTGTTAAACATGACATGAAAAAATATTGCACTATTTATTTTATCTCACAGTAGTAAAAATAAATAAAAATCATAATATTGAAAGGAAAAAGTAAAGCAACAGATAAAGGAAGGGAAAGATTTTCAAATGGAAAGCCTCCACTTGCTATCACCCTTTTATTAATTCAACTGTGGCAAGAAAACAAAGCTTCAAATTCACGTTGTGTTACAATGGTAGAGGTCACATAGGCGAGCCCTGCACAGCTCCAGAGCAGCAGCAAAGGGCACAGAACAAAGACTTCACTGTCCACTCTGAATTAACACAGGCTTACATCATCCTGGATTGCAACCTCAGTCAGTCACGAAAATGATGTACACAACGCCACTCAGATAAAAAGTTGGCAGGGCGGGAGATATGTTTTTTTTTTTTTTTTTTAAGGCTGCTTTAAGCTGCAGATAAGAATGCAATCAAAGCAATCGTAACAACTGGCTTACCCTTAAGAATCCTGAAGATCGTGTCAAAAAGTGGCTGAGATTCACTTTTCTTTTCTTTTTTAACCTAGCGGTCTGCAGTCACGCCATATCAGAAAGAACAGTTTACCCTCTCACTTCCCACTCCCTTTCAAGGATTACGGTCATTATAATCATTGTTGCGTTCGCCTCTAATAATATCATTATCCATGTGCAGCCTTGAAAGTGTAATATTGCACTGTGTATCTAATTTGGAATCTGCACAAAGTCAATAACAATTGATTAAATTCAGCTTTACACTTTACGACTTTACAAAGGCAGCACTTTTTCTTAAAATGCTTTAACCACTTTCAGTTGTTTTAATGAGCAAAAAAGGCACATTTCCTCACTTATGGCACATCAAGTTGAAAGAAAGAGTGAATGAAGGAAAAAAAAAAGCAGAAACCAGAGAAACACATCCCCAAAGGAAAAAAAACAACGTTCCTAAACTAGAGTCAATGCAACTAAAGGACTCCTAAAAATTCTGTTTGACCATGAGTCTGAGCCACCTGCTGCTGCATAGCAACCTCAGTCAGACATGAAAATGTTACACATAAAACCACAGATAAAGAGCTGCCTGCAGCCACAGCCGCTTTGAGAAAAGTGCCTGCTCTGAACTGAGATCAATGTAAGGATATGAGGCTGACCTAATCAGATCTGACAGCAAGAAAGTAAGCAAATGGCATTAGCATACACTGGATCAACTTCATATTTAGAAAAGGGCTATTTCTGATTAACTAAGTAATAACAAGGAGGCAAAAAAAAAAAAAAATGAAGAAAATGCATCACTTCTTAGTGTTTGTAAGATTTTGCAGAAATTGGTGTAGATGTGAGCTGGGCCATTAGGTGTTTTTCTCTGTCAGAGTGGATTAGACTGTTCTGCTGCAGATTGAGACAGTGCTTGATTGCTATGAAGCACGGTGTCACAGCAGCGTTTCATAGGTGTGGCTGCACATAGGCGAAAAAGGAGCAGGTGTGATTTAGCACAGGCAATAAAGGGGAAACAAAATGTGGCAGACACACACATGCACAGTCAATGCAGCCAAGAGTGCTGCACTTTCAGGGTGATTTCAGATAAACCAATAAATCTGCTTCAACTACTGTCAAGGCAAAAGATTCTGTGAAGAATTTTACCAGTATGATAGGTATTCATTTTTTTTCTTTTAGTGTATAGTAAAGTATGGCCTATTGACAATATTTTAAATGTATACAGACATGATAGAGGTACTGTGCAAATCGCTTAAGTAACTTAGAGAGAGACTTATTAGGCAAAAAATGCCCAGAATGCAAGAGTTAAACTTACAGCTACAGTCACCCAGCTTGATGAAAGATAATCTAAAAACAAGACACAAAGCAATTAAAAGCCAATGTGATGCAAATACATACTTAAAATCCTACAAGGATTTAAGGCACTCCAAAATTATTCAAACCTTTGGTACAGTTGTGTAAAATGGCTTAAAATAAATTCAACTTTTATATGTATTTAAAACATGTTTATAATTTATGCTTTAAGTTTAGATGAGTAATTGCTGACTTCCTGTTTCTGTTGCATATTCACATGATGTGACACAGAGGCCAATTTCTCTGAGGCACTCTTCAAAATGGGAAAAATGGTTGAATATGTCATTAAAGTAAGGAAATAAAGCACACAAAGAAGTTTAAAGCCCAAATATGACAATAGGTCAAGGGAGTGTAGTATGGAGTCAACACATTTTAATAGCAAAACTATGTATAAGCAGACAAAATGTTTGCTAGGGATGCCTAGAAAAAGCATTTTGTCACATTTAGAAATTCAAATAAGAAATCACAACTGTGATGAAGACTTTAGGGTGAAATGTGTGAGCCATGTACGGAGACCATATTCCTGGATGCGTCCTGTATAGGTTCAACTTCTGGCACATTGACCTTTGACACAGCCCCTCAGTCCTATTTCCTGTCAGCTGACCAAGCCGGTAGCGCTGCAAAGTATTTTTTTATATTTAATTTAAAGTTGCTAGAGAACTATGCCCATCCAAAAACAGCAGTTTCTGTCATCAGCAAAAACTTAAACATATAAAGGTTGATAAACTTATTGGGGGAAAAAAGGAAAATATGGAAAAGCCCCTCGTTTTTAGTATCAAATATGGTGGAGGAGCTATAATGCTGTGGGCAGATTTCTAATCCAAGTCTCATTATATCTTTGAAATACCAGTGAGACCAGTCGGTAGAAAAGCTATGCAAATAATTAAGCACTGATCAGTTGGCAAAAGAAGAAATCTACAGTATAAACATCAGGGGAGCTAAATATTGTGTCACAGAGAGCTAAAACATTATTTCTTAGTATGTAATTTCATCCTTAGAGGGTAGTTTGTATTTTTCATTTTTTTTTTTTTTTTTTTTAGTGGAGGATTTAGGGTTTAAGAATTTAACATATCTTCAGAATTGAGAGATTGGCGTGAAAGATATCATAAAGCGCAGTCTTGAATGTTTACACATAAATATCTCTTCTGTAGGTAAAAAGTGGACTAACTAAAAAAGCATTTCAAAAACTTCAACAATGTTATTCTGAGCGTATGTGCTGATATCTCACATTGTTCTGCTGTAGATCTGTGTTCCTCAAAATGACATGTTGTCTTCAAAATTCCTGGAATTCAGTGACTTTGCAAGCTACAAAGGGCGACTGTCTTAACATTACAAAGCAGGATCATGTGTGGAAAGTAAAAGCCCGATGCCATGCTTTATGCCCCCCTTCATCTCACTTCAGCCCACGCGTCCACCCACCAAAGTAGCAAGCCAATCATCACATGGACTGCCCTGTCAGGGGGATGAAGAGCCTGAACAGGGAAGAGGGCAGTGGTAACACAGCTGCCCGGCATGACCCGCGCAAAAGATAGT